TAAAAAATCAGTAATTCAGTGAAAAGTTTAAATACATAACACCTGATGATGGCTATATATAGCCGAAACATGTCGTGTGTGTTCCACATGTAAATCGAGTACTCGATAGGGAACGTAAAAAGATATTTTAATCTTTTAATAATATTATATTGTGATGAACGGCTAATTTTAATATTTTTAATTTTTAATTATTCGTGTTTTTTCCGTCTTATCACAATTGTATATAAATAAAATTTATACATAAGATATTAAAATATCATTATGTTTATTTCCAAATCTTTTTAGTACATGTTTCGGTTACATCGAACCATCTTCAGGTGTAAAGTTAAAAGTTAAAAATTATAATCTTATACCAAATATGTAAATGATATTTTAATATCTTATGTATAAATTTTCTTTAGACAGCTTTAACAAATTGGTTTTTGAAACGGAGAAACACTGCGTTTTCTTTGAGGTAGGAAGTGAATTTTCAAAGGGTTGAGTAGGTTTCCTGAAGTGACCTCTCACCTGGTGGCGTGCCATGAAGCCTAAACCAAACTAAATGGTTCTCTCGTCCACAGTTGTTTTAAAAATTGTCAGTATTCTTTAGCGTTAAGACCGTCAAGGTTTGTGCTGACGTATGATGTTATTGGTTACCGCGAAACTATCGTTTTTCCGTCGCCACGCACGTTTGTTTGTTTGTTTATATATTATTGTGGAAGTATTCCAGATTCCAGCGTAATTGTAGTAACTAACTCTATAGAGCATAGGTATTCTTGAGAATGTAGTAATGGCTTGTTTTTGTCAAGATGTTTCCCACATTTTATGAAGCCCGAAGTTTCATTCAGTAAAGGATTCGAAGGCAACTCTAGCCAGAGCCACATGAATCCAAATATAAATATAATGTTTAATTTTTCAGTCAAGCTATTTTAATTTCTGACTCTCTGAAGCAATTATTATCATCCATTTAGTTGTTTGGTAATTATGATCTTAATTTGTTTTTATTATATGCGCGTTCTTAACGACGTTGCATAAACGTGCCTGCTAAATTCACCGTCTGTCGTGATTCGAGATGCAATTGACGAATTTTCTTGAAATTTGATGTTCAGGAATTTTACTACAGTTTATCGTCAACTTCAAATTTTGTAACTTCAGACAGCAAAAAGTAATATTTTATGTGAAGACGCAAGTCCACGTGCGTTTCTGGCCGAAACTTGGTCGTGACTCGTAGGTAAAATATTTATCGGGAGAAAAATTCTTGGATGAAAGTTGTACAGAAAATTGAACACTTGTCTCATGAAATAAAGTGGATTATTTGCTTTATATCATAACTTGACTCGACACTGATTTTGATCAAATGTTTGATTTGAGGTACTGACTGCCAGTTTTAAGAAACTTAGGCTGTAATATAGCGTTAAACGTTACTTAATTGCACATGTAGATTTAAGAACAAAACGATTTATTACGATAAGCGTCGGTACATGTTTACAACCATAACGACTTTAACGTATTGCTAATTCTTTAACCAAGTAAATAAAATCTACACAATTTAAATTTGTTCTAAATACTGAGGTGACAGGCTTGTTCACATTTCCTGGTGTCAGGTCAATCTGAGTGTCGGGAAAGAGAATGATTTTGTCGTAAAACGTAAGAATATGTCGAGTCGTACTTCCACGCCCATCCACGCCTAGATAACGTCCTTTTTTCCGAACTAAAAACCATACATATACAAATTCTTGTCTGTGAAGGTTTCCAGGCGGTGAAGGTGCCTGGAAAGAAGGTAAGACGTTCTGAAATGGTGAAGGTAGAAATATGAGAACTGGAACAAGGAGAGAAGTTGAACAGGGTCTTGTACGATTTGAGGTTTTCACGGCGGTGAGTCTGAAGATTTCTGTCTTCTGGGTT